AGGATGTTTGAAGTGAATCCATAAAAACGGAAAAATAGAGTAAAACAAGGATACATTTTCTCACCGGATTTATTTCACCTCTACCTAAAAACTCGAATCATGTTCTTAAATCGCCTCGTCAGATCGTGATTTTTATATGGATGGCATATATAGCACCCAACTCGTTCAGAAAAATCTGAACTGTCATCTGTATATAACCGCTTTCTCGTGTCAATAGTTAAAAATGCCTTCGAGCGAATGAAGCCTGTACGTCTTATTGAGGACCATCCTCATTCCAACCATATGAACTGGCGCTACAGAATCACAAAGAACTGTACCAAATAAGATTGTTAACACGTGTAACTCGAAGGGAAAATAATGAGATAATCAAGATGTTGACGTTCCACACTACATCAAACAAAAAGTTAGGCAGGAATCCACCCACCAATACTGGAAAGAATGATAACAATTCGTGGACCTGAGAAACCTATTTTCCTGAAAAATTGTTTTAATAGAACAAGTGCAGCATTAGCGAATGTTTCCGTATAAGGAAATGGTTAATATTACCATTAGTGATGAGTAGAACAGATACTATACTTTGATCCTATCCCGATGGCTAAGGAATGAAAAAAAGCGTGTCTAGAATAACACTGACTGTAATATTTATTTGTATAATATATACAAAATTTGGCACAAGGCCAATATGGGTATTGGAGAAAAGAACGGTCTTCTATCATAACATTAAACTTAGCTGGCAACAATCACTGACACAAACGAACGACCAATAATCCTTACACCAAAACAACGCATTCTTATCATTCTTAAAATATCCACCATAATACCTCAATGCCTCTGTGAAATCCTAACTAGTCCCCATATGTACAATTCTTGACTGTGGTGGGAAGGGAAAATAACAATTTAAAATCTAAACACCAATGTGTATTTACAATATGAATAAAAACTATTTACAAGAAACTAAATAAAACAGTGTTAGTAATACCCCCCCCCACCTCGCCTCATTCTTTAATTGTAGCAGAAACATCAGTTAACTGGACGAAATCAATACGAGATTTTCCCGGTCAAAATAACCAGCGGCCATATTCGTTGCCTCGGAAGACATTCTTTTAACCTAGCCCCCAACTTCCAGAGCTTGATCCTTCTTGATAAGCAAGGAGGTCATCTCTGCTACGTCCCCACTATCACGTGATTTTACTGCCCAATCTATTTTTTCTCACATGCCATTTGCGCCACATATATCTAGATTGAGCCGATGAGTATATTCTGCAGCAAACGACCTAATTTTAGATTTTAGTTTATCCCACCACATATTCCCAACCACAGCCCCAGTCAGTTTCCGCTGTAGCCTTAGTAGTAGTTGATCCTGGAAATCTTGCTCAACAAATAATAATGAGTTCGATTTCCAGTAGCCAGCCATCTAAACCTTAAGTTTATCTAAGTTTACACGAACCCGGACGAGCCTATAATTCGAGTAAACTATATAATGGAAATATGGACACCCTAAGAGCCCTACATCGATTCTCCTAACTAAGACTCGGTCGAGGTAGCTACAACGCACTCCCGTTGTCGAGCCGCCGCTATTTGTCCAATTCCACACTACCTCCTGAGGGTGTTCATTACGGTACTTATCGACAAGATCAAATTTATCGATAAAGTCCGAAAATGGATTCACGTCTCGGTTGTTAGTACCTGATCTTGGCCCTATACGATCTATATCAGGGTTAAGGAAGGCTTTCCAATCGCCAGCTAAAACTACCCGACGAGATGTTGTCAAAAACGGCTCGAGTCGCCGAAACAAATCAAGTCGCTCAGAATGGCCATTGGGCGCATAAACCTCAATGAGGCGAAGAGCCTTATCCTTTATAGTAACATCCAGCACGCAAAGCCTGCTCGCCGGATCTGCGAAGACAAGAGCACACGCTGCGTTCAAAGACTTGCTTACCAACCATGAAATTCCTCTCGAGCAACCATCAAAACATTCTGAATAGCGGGAATCCACTAGACAGAATGCCCTCATAATCACGAGTTGAAAAGCGAGTCCCGTGCACACAACAAACATTCACTCCAAGAATGCTAAAGGTCACAAGAGAGCCTCGCTCTGCGAGATTCCGAACTCAGGCCTCGGGCATTCACACTAGCTAACCTGAGTGCCATTATCAGACCGATTAGGGTTGCTCTTTTGCATTGAACATGATCGGGGTGAGGACACCGACGGCTTGTTCCATTGAAGCTATTCTCATCTCAGTATTAAAGGTACTATCATGAGACACGCGACCAATGTCCGAGGAAAAAATTAATTTCAATGCTCTATAGAGAGGGGTGAACTAAAAGCGGGAACCTGCCCGGACAAAACTGTTTTAATTTTTTGGAATTTGCATCAATATAAAATGCTAATGGTAGAAACATTCCAAAAGCATTGTTTGCTTCATCCACCAGGTCCCAAATCTGTTGTCCACTCTGACCAGATCTCACAACTGTTAGTATTCTTTCGGCATTAGGGAAATTTCTAGGGTCATTAATTTCTAAACCATTTTGAGTTTTGAATTAATTAGGAAATTCAGGTCTTTCATTTTCCTCAACTGAATTAATGCCTTCTCTTCTTGAGTTTACGTAACCCGGCACACGTCTTCCTCTGTGTTATAAATGGGTTTAGACTTTTTTATTTGTTGATCCAGTAAACTCATGTGATAGACTTCTTTGTCGTTTTGTGTTTTCGGATTTCTTTGACGAGCTGATGGGATTTTGAACAGTGGATGGATTAGAGGTATTGGTAGAAGTTTTTTTTTCTTTGATGCTGATTTGTGAATGGGCCCTTCTTTAAGTTGGTCATTTTAGGAGAAGGAGATAAGGATTTAACCGCTGAAGGAGGAGCCATGATGTGTTGTTTTGTGGATGTGGAAGACGGTGACGTGGAAGAAGGGCCTATTCTTTTAGAGACGCTTCTCCTTTCGTTCCTCTTTTAGTTTTTGTAATTTCTCGGTTTTCTCAAATGATGGTTCGTATTTCATTTTCTGTTGTCTAAGTTGATCGGCGGAGCTGGTCGGGAAATCGCTCGTAGATGAAGTGTGTCTGTCTGTGTCATTACCCGTAGCAGCATCTGTGGAACGAGGTCCTGCTGCCCGGAGCTTCCCTCTGCCATCCCACCTTTTCTTTCTCCGCAACCACACAAGCGGCGGGCAAAAGTTTTTCGGAGAATGGGGTTCATGAGACGGTCCCAACCGGGGGTTTTACTACACCGGTCCCTGTCACTTGCATACCCATTACAGGTGAGACGGAGACAACAGACTTGACCAGAGGGGATTTGAGTCGGCGAGGGCCAGAACTCCAAAGGCCTTCTTCTCTGGGCAGGAAGAGGAGAGGTAACCAGTCTCTTCGCACTTCCAAGAAGTTGGTCTCCAGCATTTCCTGGCCCTCTGCACCCAGAAAGTTGAAATGGAGATGAAGGCCTTGTGCTCTATCATCAACTCGAAGCACCATCCCCAGGTTAGTTCGTCAGATGAAGCACTGAGTGTCTGTTTGAATTGGCACAGATAGGCGGCCCAAGTGCTCCCCGACGATCTGAAGAGGGACCTTATATTCCGATACATTGGTCCGTCGCCTGCCCTCGTATTCAGTTCTCAGAATAAGATCTCTAATTATTAAGTCTCGACTGCTTGCGGCTTCACAGTCGGCAGCCGTGGATAGCAGTACGTCCCACATGAAAACCCCTTTTCCTTTTATATTTCTCTGTGGTTTAAACCCCAGGGTTGTCAACGATCTTATAATGTCTTTTGTGGAGCGACAAATTTTGCGCGAGCGCTTGTCCACCACAAAGACTAGCACAACTCTTTTTTCCACTTTCTGCAATTCCACCGGATTTGTCAAGAGCCCATCTTCTTTAACAAGATGTGCGCAGCTCTTGGCTTCTCGGGAAACTCCGTATGTTGATAATACATCATGGTGAGGACTTCCAACAAGAGGGCATCTCCCGGATCGCTATTTTTTCGCCTTTGTTGTTGCTCTTGTCTTTCTCAAGAGACCTAATAAAAAAAGAGTGTAAAACAAAGATAAAATAAGAATGGGGGGTAAAAAAATTGAAAAGAAAAATTCAAGTATTTAGTTTGAAATAATCAGTAAAAGAACGTAAGAAAATTAAATTTTTAAAACTAGCCGTAAAGTTCATTGTCGAAAGCAAAATTCCAAGATTAGAGCAGCAAAAATCAAGTCAGGCGCTAAAACTGGTCAAGCTGGTCTGTGAAAGGAGAACTTCCAATACTGGCTACTCAGTCAATGAATGCGAAATGCCTTATAAGGAAACGGCTAATTTTAGTGTGACGGTCTTAATTAAAAAAAGGCCAATCAAGATTTATTTTCGGCGGCCATAATTGCATCCGAATATCGTGATCGTCATCCTCTCTCCTTATTCACTTTATCCTCTCTGGTGACGGTGACGGTGATGACTGTGAAGGACCAGCCTAATCCTGAAGAGTTGTGAGCAGGAGTTTTGAGCTTCCGCATAGCTTCTTGCCGCTGGCGAGTTCTCTAAACAGGATGATATATGGGAGTCGAGTCGGACGTATTCTGAACATATTGAAGGATAGTAGCCACAAATTTAAGCAGATAAAATACAGACGCAAACTTAATTTAATTTTATCGTACCTTTTACGTGGGTGAGTTGATAGCATAAGTGCACGGTGGTGAAATAAGAGGAAGGGGAAGATGCTACTGTTTGGAAGAGGAGTTTCTGAGGTAACTTCTTTCTCTTTTCTGTGTCTTAGCACCACTCGACTTGATACTCCAGGCTTGTCACCCCACGTTCTCACCGGTTTATCAACCCGTTACAGGTTATTTAAAGCCAGAAAATATTTTTAGCCCGTAAGAATATTTTTGAAGATAATAATTGTTTAGTGATACAAAACTTACTAATTAACCCAGGGTATTTATGCGTCAGTGAATGTAACAGCCCCAAATTCCGATTAACAATTCCGTGCCGTTGCCCATTACACCACCCGCAAAACCAAGCTTATAACATCTGGTATTCCCAAGCGGTCACCCATCTAGATACTGACCAGGTTCGACGTTGCTTAACTTCGGCGAACGTACGTAAACTGGTGTTTCAATGCGGTGTGGCTGTAAGCCTTCCGGTTTTGGAATGTTGTTGACGAGGATCGTTCGTAAACCGAAGGTTTTTAACGTGATGTTGTCGTAAACCTGTTCACCGAACGAGAGACCGAGTTTCTGAAGATTTGATCGTGATCCGATTTCTTTCGAGAACAAGAATACAAACGTTATTATATTACTAATGTTTGTTGTCTTGTTTTAATCGGTACCTATTTTTTTTTATTCTCAACCTTGATAAGACAGGAGCGAAACGCGCCAACTCCAATTTTGTTTTCTCTTTTTGTGCTTACTCCTTCTCTCCTTGTTTAATTTAAAATTCTAAATATGTCCGTTTTTTTACACGAAATGTTTATAATTTATCTAAATTCTAGACATTCTGTTCGATATTTTTCTATCAATTTGTTTTTTCTTTCTTGCGTAAAAACAACACTGATCTCAAAAGTGATAATCTATTTATCAAGTGTGATCGATTTGGTGAGTCAAGTCGGAATTGTTCTAGGTGAAACGTACTTGAAGTTCAAAGGTCGCGGTTCAAGTAATGAAAGTTTTTTTTTTTTTGTTTTTGTTTTGTTTTATACGATATCAATCGGATATAAATACGTTCTTGAAAAACGATTTCCCAATACACGCCGAGAACAGTTCGTTACAATCTAACATATCTAACTTTTTTTTAAAATGCGATCTCCTTTCAGGATATGACTCCCCATATATTCCTTTTCTTTATTCAATCAATTAAGTACCATACGTTATAAATGCTTGGGCAATCATTTCTCTTTCGATTCATGACTGACTAAGCAGTGATTTTCCCGCAGTGGGTTGCGTATTTTTCTACGATAGAATGGTTGCCAACCAAGGCTATAGGACCCAGTCCGTCCTGCTATTTGACCCATCACTGGGAGGGGGAGAAATGGATTCATACTTTTTCCAAGGATATTTCCACGTAAATGAATATAATTAATCTGACTGGAATTTGAACTCGTCCCTCCAATTCCGAGCCGATATACATTACACAACAACGCATTGGTTCACGTCCGAATACCGAGGTTAAGCAACGCAGAGCCTGGTTAGTATTTAGATGTGTTTTTCATGGTTTTGAATTCAGAGTAGTCCGGCTTACGTCTATATCACGTTAAAACACCGTTTCTCCGAAGTTAAATTAATCAACGTCGAGCTTAATAAGAACCCATATAGGAAATGCCAAGTGCTGTAAGCTACGCGACAGGCCTAGCAAGCCGATGATGGACACAATCTCACTGCTTATACTCACAGAAGATCTCGATATATATATATATTACATTGAGATATATATATAGATATTTAGATATATATCATAAATTTACTAATTTAAAAATATGATTCCATCGCTACACAGGAATTACCATGTTTCAAAAACAGAAACTAAAAACTTCAAATTTAATTATAGACTTAAATTAAAATCCCTAGTACTGTTTCATTTTCAAGCGAATTTTTGGAATAAGTTATTTTGAAATTTACTGAGTTTTATAAGCACATACATTCTTAATATTACTTTCTAAGGATACGGGGAAATTTAATCATTTTGACAAGGGGTGGTAAGGTATTCATTTTCACTGACAACCATTGTATCGAAATATGAGTTACTTTCAAAATGAGGTTAAAGTAGGGTAGCGGTGCCTGTTCAACAAATAATGACATCCGTTTTTCGTATGTTGCCAGTTTTTTTTTTTTTTTTTTTTTTGGGGGGGGTTAATGACAAATCTGCAGAATTGTATTGAGCACTGTTTTTTAAAATAATTAATAAGAACACCGGATTATAAATCTTACTGTTCTTTTCTATATTTATATATATATATATATATATATATATATATATATATATATATATATATATATATATATATATATATATATATATATATATATATATACATACTAGGTGGAAGCTGGTGATATGAATTCATCTCAAGGATATTTATGCGAAATTGAACGTAACAGACTAGATAGGAATTTGAACTCGCTTCGCCAAATTCACTTTCGGTGGCGATGAGTGTTACGCTATCTGCCTTTAACTACTTTATAAAAGAGAAAATTCAATGTATTCACAGTGACTACATTAAAGAACCGATTCTCGTTCGAAGTTAAGCAACTTCCAGTCTGGTCAGTACCTAGAGTGGTGACTGCTTTGGGATGCCAGGGGTTGTAAGCTTGGATGTGCGGGTGGTGTAATAGATAACGGCTCATAATGTGAAATCAAAAAAAACCTGTTCGAATTCTGTCATATTAGCTGACGCGCAGATACCTCTGGGAAAAGTATGAATCTATTTCTTCCCACCAGCAATGAAATAAATTGTAGGATTTATATCTGAAGATCATTATTTTTTTAAAAGAAATGTTAATAAAATATCCCTTCGCAAAAAAAAAAAAAAATTATTCTTACAATCTAAAAATATGTTTCGGATTTAAATAACCTAAAAACAGATTAATACGTAAAAAAACAAAAACAAATCAACAATCATAATGATTATTTTTTAAATGACTTGCTTAAATACGTCTTTTCTTTTTTTTCTTGGTTCGTTTTTGTATCTTGCAACGAAAACACAATCATCACTGATTATATTGCTTTAAAGAAAACTCAAAAAGTAAAAGTTTAAATGCTAATGACAAAGATAAGATATCAAGCGTTAATTTTTCGAAATAATTAAGATGAACCCGTTGCACAAAGGTATAGAGCTAAAGAGGAACATACAATCAGATGATCATTTGTTATTCCTCATAATTTGCGTGTCAAGGAGTTTATCAAGCATCGACTTTGATTTCTTACCCGTAATATTATCAACGATTTTATCGCTGTAACGCGCTGACAACCCTGTCACGAGACAATCCCGTCAGGTGATAATCGTAGTTCTCATCGAAAATGTCTCGTAATGCTGTTCAAAATAACTTCTGATTTAATATGTTGACGATTTGGGAAACCATGAATTTCCACAACACCTTGGCATCTGTTGGACTTTCCTACGTCTCTTATATGATCAATGTTGTCGCCATTTTTACAACTGTCCTTTTTCCGCCATCAATTCACACAAAGTAGCTTACACACTGTTTTACCATGCTTTTCTATCTTTTTGTGTGTTCTGTGAGTGTCAACTCTCCAAACCCTCTTTTCTCATCAGGGGTCCAATAAATTTCAGCTGTCACTTTCTGATTGTAAGTTTAAGTTTCCTTTTAGCCCCTTTTTTTTGTTTTGTCCATGGCATTCGTTGATAGGACAATATCTCTGCCACATCAGGTCTCTTCATCTGTGAAGAAATTGTCCGGCAGCCACTGCCATATAGGATGATCTCAGCTCTCTTTTCTTTGTTTCTAACGATAGTTTCCAATCTCTGTTCTGTCCATGCTATTCTTTTCATTCTTCGGTACAACTACATCACGATCGCTTCAAGTTGTTTCTTCATCTCTGAAGAAATCGTTTGGCATTCATAGCCATATAGGAGATTATATATTACACGGCAACTCTGATCTCTTTTCTTTGTTTCGAATAACATTTTCCTATCTCTTAATACTTTGCTTAATTTCTGGAAGACATCTCTCGCTATTCCCATGCGCCTCTTTTCCGTTGTCTGACTCAAATTTCCACACCAATTTGATTTCGATGTCTCCAATATATTGCCCAAGTCTTGAACTGTCTCTTGCTATCTTACATGCGTTCTGTGTATTCACAGTTAACATTCGGTTGATTCATAAGTAATTTCCGTTTTTAGGAACCAATTGTATTGGCGAATGTATCATCCTAGCTACTAATCACACGTGGCAGTTAAAAGGAATACACTAACATATAACAGATAGATAGATAGATAGATAGAGAGAGAGAGAGAGAGAGAGAGAGAGAGAGAGAGAGAGATAGATAGATAGATAGATAGATAGATAGATTATGTTGAGTCATAAGTAATTTCGGTTTTGGGGAAACAATTGTAATGACGAACGTATCATCCTAACTATAAATCATACGTGGCAGTTAAATGGAGTATAATGGCAGGGCTAAAAGGAAGCACCGGACAGCGGGACCTCGTTCCACAGAAGCCCCTACGGGTAATGACACATACAGACCCACTCCTTCTACCAGTTCTAAAAGCGATTCCCCGACCAGCTACGCTAAGCAATTGCGACGACAAAAACTCAAATACGAACCAAGTTTTGAAAAGGCGGAAAAAACTTCTTTTTGAGTTGATGGAAGCCTTAACGACAAAACGTCAGGAATCCGAAAGAAAAATTGGCATTTCTTCCTCGGCACCGTCTTTCCCTTCTACAAAACACTATTATATGGCCCGATACCAATGATTAAATCTTTAACCTCGACGCCTTCCAACATGACCACTATCAGGAAGGCGCCTATACCTTTAAAAAATCTACTCACACCGTAACTCCCAATCCATCCCCTGTACAGACCCCCATCAATTCAGCAAAAAAGAAAGTGATCAACAAAAAAAGACAGCGAAGCCATTCATTTGATTCGGCTGAACTAACTTTAAAAAAAATCAAGTCTAAACTCCTCTATGACACAGAGGAAGACCTGTGCCGAGTATCCAATAAACAGGTGGAAAAAAAAAACTCTTGCACACTCTCGCAAAATAAATGACCTAAAAATCTTTTTAAACTTCCAAAGATTTAATAATATGGACGTCGAAAAGCCCGATAACTTTTCCAACGCCAATAGGATTTTAACGGTGGTGAGATCTGGTCAAGGTACCCAACATATACAGGCGATGACAGAGGGCGATAACGCCTCTTTTAAATGTTTTCCCCTACTAGCTTTCTTTGATGATGAAAATGTAAAGCGTTTGCATCAATATTGTTCAGGGAGGCTCCCGCTTTTCCTTCACTCCTCCCCGTATAGAGCTTTAAAACTCACGTTCCCCTTGGATATTGGTGGCCTGTCCCATGATGGCAAACAGGTTCAATGGCACAGGCAGTCGGTGTCCTCACCCCGACCATGTTCAATGCAAAAGAGCAAACCTAATCAGTCTAATAATGGTACTCT